AAACCCAGAAGAGATACGGGCAATGCCACACATGCCAGGCAACATGGCTCCATATGCCACTTCGGGCATGTGTGCCATAGATTTGCCATCACAGGACTAAACATACCCAATTCCTGAAACCGTTCTTCATATGTTTTACCCTCCAGTCCCCTAATCCTGTTTGATGCTGTTCTCTGCACTCTTTCTAGAGTCTCCACATCTTTTTTACATCGTGGCAACCAAAACTGAATGCAGTATTCCACGTGTGGCCTTACCAAGGCCTTATAAAGTGGTATTAACACTTTATGTGATCCTAATTCTATCCCTCTGTTAATGCAGCCTAGAACCTAGAAGCCTGTCCCATCCTCTGGCGTTCTGTTTCAGGGTTAAAACAATATTTGAAACCTGCTAGGCATCTTGATTGATTGTTTCACTTCCTGCAGTTGCCTCTGATTCGATTCAGGGTCTTTAACCAAGTCGTTGACTGTATTGTTAAAAGAAAATTGAGATGTTGGTGGTGAGGATAACGAGAGGATCATCTATCTAAGACAGAGGAAAAAGAAATCTTCACTCCATAATGCAGATTATGAACTGCCATTCACTGAAACAATCTTTATTTCAGTAATCCTTAAGGTACATTTAGACGATAGAGAACAAATTTAGGATATAAGCTTTATCATACAGAGCCTTCCTTTAACGGCTTCGTTGGGAAATTGTGGCAGTGATTCTCATTTTGAGCAAGATTATAGTCCATGTTAAAACATACATCACACTTTGAATTGCAACTGTCATCTATAATAGGAAGAATTTATTGATTGCCACTTGGCTTTCATTAGAACTTAGAAACGAGTGTTCTTTGGAAATTCTCCACTATGTTTTCAGGCAAAGGCATTTATTGGGTGAAAAGAATACTGAATAACAGACTTGGAAGGGACCTTGGAGGTCTTCTAGTCCAACCCCCTGCTTAAGCAGGAAATGTTATGCCAGACAAATGGCTGTCCAGTCACTTCTTAAAGACCTCCAGTGATGGAGCAACCACAACGTCCAGAGGCAAGCTGTTCCACTAATTAATTGTTCTTATTGGCAAGAAACTTCTCCTTAATTCTAAATTGGATCTCTGATAATCTTCCATCCGTTATTCCTTGTCCTTCCTTCAAGTTTTTTGGAGAACAAGTTGACTCCCTCTTCTTTATGACAGTCCCTCAAATACTGGAAGACTCCCAACATGTCATTCCTAGTCCTTCTCTTTGTTACACTAGACATATCCAGTTCTTTTTTTTTTTTTAATATTGTTGTTATACATTTTCCTTTATTGTACATCACATTTTCAGTTTTGCAATGACAGTGTACTGGCTGTATCAAGCCCTTTTTAAGCACAAATAGTATTATACACCCTGAGTATAACCATTATTCTCGTAGTCATACAATATAGTCTCTTTTAAATACATAATGTTATATGTCATAGTAATAACCATTATTTTCATCGTTGTACCATAATTCTCTATACCTTTATCACTCTATATGTTTTAATCTATAATCACGTACGATCCAATAGTACTATTGCTTATGATATCTATATCTATATCTGTCTGTCTGTCTGTCTGTCTGTCTGTCTGTCTGTCTGTCTATACCAAATTTATATTTCGCTGATAAAGAAATAAAGGGAGACTAGTATAGATCTATTTCTCATCAGCTAGCCATACCCTTACCTGGATTTGAACTTGGAATATAAATTTGGTATAAAAATGGTTTGTCGTGAATGCGACTGCTTGAGGGCTCCTGGATTGGAGCTGAAAGGCAAAAGGGAAGCAGTATGCTCCTTCCCACATGTTGGGGTAGACCAGGTGCCTCGTAGGTTTATATGTGCAATACTTTTCTAGTTAGGGTTTTTCCTACGTAATTCAAGATGTTTGTATTGCCATAGTTGGGTGATATCTCAAATCACCACTTTCAGGCTTTATCAGACATTTTGTGTTGTCTGCTGTGAGACTTTTACTACCGGTTCTCCGAACTACCCAAAATTTTCGCTACCGGTTCTCCAGAATTGGTCAGAACCTGCTGGATTTCACCTCTGTAGTACACTATTTTAAAAGCTTAGAGCAAATACATACCGTAGTAAGATGCTGTTGTTGTTGTTTTTAACTTTTCTCAGAAAGGAAGGATAACACCTTTATAAGGGTTTATTGGGGATGGGAAGTCAAAGGAAGCCACTCCTAACTCCAAAATGCCATTATGATTTAACCTTCTTAGAGAAAAAGAAAGATTGCATCTGCAAACACAATTTTTTTTCCCCCTCTGCTCCTTTTGTCAATAGCAAAGTTGTTTTGCTAATGGTTATCTGCCAGCAAGTCCTTGACCTGCTTGTAAAAAACTTTTTGTTTTCACCCCTGTACGAAAACCTTGGGCCACGTCCTTGATGCTTTTGCATCAACAACAAGAGAGAACAGTGACCAGAGCTTAACCTTCACTGGCCTGGAGTGCCCTCTACTGCCCTTTGTTGACCAAGGGACTTTGTAATCTATCTCCTCCCCTGAAAGGAGACAGGGAGAACTTCACAAAAGGTGGGTTTGAAATTGAGAAGATGCTTCAGCCAGGAGGAGATCAATTTCCCGGACGATCTTCCCTCATCTATCAAAACGGGAAGGTCTTAATTCAAGACCGTTGGCCACTTGAGGGGGTCAAGATCTCTCTATAGTACAGGCAGTCCTCGACATACGAACACAACCGAGTCCAAAGCTTCCGTTGTTAAGTGAAGCATGTGTTAAGTGAATTTTGGCTCATTTTACCTCCTGTCTTGCCACGGTTGTTAAGTGAATCGCCTGCAGTTAAACAACCCGGTTGTTAAGTGAATCTGGCTTCAACCGTGGGCTTTGCTGGTTGGAAAGGTTGCAAAAGTGTTGCATCACGTGACCCCTGCCAAGTACAAGTCAGGTGCCAAGCCTCTGAATTTTGATCACGTGACCACAGGGATGCCCCAATGGTCCTAAGTGTGAAAAATTGCCGTGACTAAGTCACTTTTTTCACTGCCATTGTAACTTCGAACGGTCACTAAGTGAGTTCTTGTTAGTCAAGGGCTATCTGTATCTGTCTGTGCACACATGTAGGTCCTTGACTTACAAACGTTTGTTTAGAGACTGGTCGAAGTTACAACATCGCTAAAAAAAAGCAGGTTACAATCAGTCCTCGCACTTATGACAATCACAGCATCCCCATAGTCATGTGATAAAAATTTGGAGTTTTGGAAACCAGCATTTATTTAGATAGTTCTAGCTTCCTTCTGTCTTGTGACCACCATTTTCAACCTTCTGAGTCAATCTCAGAGAAGCAGAGTCAAGGGGCTGGATTCTCTTCAAAATGAATGCTTTTCTGAACTATTGAACTGATTCGCTTAACAACCGTGACAAAAAGGGTTGTAAAATCAGGCAAAATTCACTTAACAGTCTCCTTGCTTAGCAATGGCAATTCTGGTCCCAGTTGTAGTTTCAGGTCAAGGGCTACCTGGGCGTACACCAGGGGTGAAATCCAGCAGGTTCTGACAGGTTCTGGAGAACCGGTAGTGGAAATTTTGAGCAGTTCGGAGAACCGGCAAATACCACCTCTGGCTGGCCCCAGAGTTGGGTGGGAATGGAGATTTTGTAATATCCTTTCCCCAGGAGTGGGGAGGGAATGGAGATTTTGCAATTTCCTTCCCCCAGGAGTGGGGAGGAAATGGGGATTTTACAGTATCCTTCTCCTGGAGTGGGGTGGGAATGGAAATTGTACAGTATCCTTCCCCTGCCATCCCCACCAAGCCATGCTCACAGAACTGGTAGTAAAAAAAATTGGATTTCACCACTGGCGTACACTATAAAAAAGGCATTGAGATTCTAGAAAAAGTGCAGAGTAGAGCAACCAGGATGATATAGGGACTGGAGGCTAAAACATATGAAGAACAGTTGCAGGAACTGGGCATGGCTGGTCTAGTGAAGAGAAGGACCAAGGGAGACAGGATAGCAGTCTTCCAATATTTGGGGGGCTGCCACAGAGAGGAGGGGGTCAAGCTATTCTCCAAAGCGACTTCCGGTTTCCTTGTCTTCGGCGACGGCGGCGCTCTTTGAAGCTCCGCCAGCCCCGCCGCCTGTAGAGCCGCTTCGCGATCGAGAAGCGGCTCGAAAACTTCAAAATCCTGAGGATTGTTGGAGGAGAGATAGCAGGGCACAGGTCGAGCCCCTGTAACCCCCCAGGGAATCGTTTCTGGGGAGGAAACAGGCGCGGCTCCCTTCCAACCTGCTGAGACTCCGGGCGGCGTGGGACGATTCTGCTCCTGCAGAACAAGCCGGCTGCAGGAAACTTAAAGCGAAAGAACTAGCTTTAATAAATAGCGAAACTACCTGAATCCTGAAATTTGGAAACGCAAGTATTAGCACTTTGTTGACTTTTCAATCTGAGAAAATGCAAATGAGTGAAAGTGCTTTGAAAAAACATGGCGCCTAGCTTCAGAGTTAACGAGCCAGCGAGTGTGGATTGGTGAAGTTACTTTGTTTTGCTACAAAGTTTCCAAGTTGCTACTAAGCTGCCTCGCTTGTTATAAGAGAAATAACTGGGAAATTTTTTCCCTTTTCAATATTGGACTTTGCTTTATTTTAACCCTTGTTTGATCAAATCTGGGGGACTTTTTTAGAAGTCTTTGTGCAGGAGGGAAAGGAAAAGGAACCTCCCTCTTTAGAAAAACTAGATCACGAGCCAGGATGGCTTCAAAGAAGCAGGAAGGGAAGGCATTAGGGGGGGGATCCCCCACACACAAACAGCAAACACAACTTCCCCCTGCTCAACAGTTACAAACTCAGAAAAAAGAATTTGATGTGGCAGATTTAAAAGAATTTATTTCTAAAACTTTGGATGATAAATTTCAAGAATCACAACAGGAACTTCAAAAATCACATCAGGAATTTTTGCAGGAAATTAATGAAGTTAAAGACATGGTGAAACAGAATCAAATTATGGTGACCAAAAAAATATCAGAAGTGGCGTCTGGCCTGGCAGATTTTATTGGGAAAGTTGATTTTAAAGTTGAAGAATTTAAATCAGAAGTTAATGTTAGGATGAAAGACAATGATTATAAAATTGATGAAGTTGACAATAAAATGCAGAGAATTGAAGATGAGATTGTTATGATACAATTCCGGGCGATGGAATTTGCCATACGGCTTCGGGGAATTCGAGAGGAGGAAAGACAGGACTTGAGACAAGTTTGCTCTGAAGCCCTGGCTAAGATCTTACAAGTTAATCCTGATTTGGTATTTCATAAAATAGATAAAATTTACAGAGTGAACTCTTGGGTGGCCAGGCAAAGACAATTACCCAGAGATGTGGTCATATACTTTACTGAGAGAGAAATTAGAAATGATATCCTGCAAAAATCTTTTCACACTTCTATACAAGTGGGGGGCTCACGGCTTGTAATTTTTAAAGAGTTACCTCCTAAAATGCTGAAAGCTAGAAAAGAATTTGGTTTTCTTGTTAAGGAATTGAAAAATTTACAGATACCCTTCCGGTGGGATGCACCAGCTGGGGTAATTTTCAGATATAAGGGAGAAGGATATCGGTTGAATACCGTGGAGAAGGCGCAACACTTTTACAGTACTATTCTTATGGAAAGAACACCATCTCCACGTACATCTACAGTTCTGGAGATTAAGGAGAGTGAAGAGAGGCAATTGAAAGAACAGTCTAAGCAGGAATTAGAAAACGTGCAAGGTGCAGAAGGAGGTATTCTGAGTGAGCCATCGCTGGATTCTTCTCCAATTTTGGATTTGATACAGTTGACTGAAGTTAAAGATCAACGTATAACTAGAGCTCAATCCAAGCTACTTAAACAGAAGCAACAACAACAACAGGAAAGACAAGACAAGAAGGCAGTTAAGAGCACTGCACAAGAGATTGGCGCTATGGGAGGAGCGAGATCGAAGCTCGCGGATGAACTTCAAGCATATTGCTCCGCGCTCCAGAAAGAGGCTAATGACCTTTAAGTGTTTATCTTGGAATGTCAATGGGTTGAATTCAGCACAGAAAAGGAAAAAATTATTTACATATTTGAAACAATTTAATAATGATATAATATGTTTACAAGAAACGCATATTACAACTCAAGATCAAAAATATTTGATAAACTCAAAACTAGGAGCACATTATATATCTTCAACTTCGCAGAAAAAGAATGGTGTGGTTATTTATGTAAATAAAAAATTAACAGCAAAAGTTATAGAAGTAGATCAAGATGGTAGATTTGTAGCAATTGAATTGTTTACAGCAAATGGTCAAATTCTTTTGATTGGAATTTATGCTCCCAACCAACAACAGGATTATTTTTACAAGATGCTACATACTAAAATATTGCAATGGGACTACAGATCTATTTTAATTATGGGAGATTGGAATGGAGTAATTGATTCTAAATTAGATAAAAAGAGCTTGGCAAAGTCTAGAATTAGATTACCACAGACCTTTTTTGATATGAAAGAAGATATGGAACTAAAAGATGTTTGGAGAATACATAACCCAAATGAATTGGATTACACTTTTTTTTCTGATAGACATAGATCTTTTTCTAGGATTGATTTTATCTTGTTGTCAAATGATCTACTTGTTAAGACAAAAAGAACAAAGATTTTTCCAAGAATTTTGACTGATCATAGTCCTGTATGGATAGAAATCGAGATGGATAAGGTTGAGAGACGTTCTTGGAGATTAAATGAGAACCTGTTTAGATATGAAAAAAATATAATAGAACTTAAAAAGCATTTGAAAGAATTTTTTGAAATAAATTTGAATAAAGGTACCCCAGTTGAAATTGTTTGGGATGCAAGTAAAGCTTATATGAGAGGGGTACTTATCTACATGAATTCTAAACATAGACTGTTCCGACAAAAGAAAAGATCTGAGTTGGAAACGGAAATAAAGAATAAAGAACAGTTACTTATTAAAAACCCAACAGATGAAAGAATACGAAGTGCTATAAAACTTTTGAAAGACCAATTCCAAATGCTTATGGCGGAACAAGTTGCAACAAGTTTACAATACGCGAAGCATAATACATTTTGCAATGCTAATAAACCGGGCAGATGGTTGGCTTACACATTGAGGAAAAAACAAAGTATACGGACTATTGATAGTATTGATATTGGAGGGAAAGAAATCTTTCAACAAAAACTAATTAAAGAAGCTTTTGTGGATTATTATACTAAACTATATGCCAAAGATGAGGTGCAGAATGGACTTATAGAAAAATATTTAAAGGATAAGAGAGTTACAAAAATTACTGATCAACAAAAGGAAAGAATGAATTATCCTATAACAGAGGAGGAGATAACAGCAGCAATTAAACAGCTAAAAACAGCCAAAGCTCCTGGCACGGATGGTTTGACTGCAGTGTATTACAAAACTTTACAAGCTGAAATGGTGGGACAACTTAGAGATTTATTTTGCAATATTCAACAAGGGGGTAAAATACCCCCATCCTGGACAACTGCTTATATATCTTTGATACCAAAAGAACAAGTTGGTCCTAAAAAACCAGAGAACTACAGACCAATATCTCTTTTGAACACAGACTATAAAATTTACGCGAAGGTATTAGCCAACAGGTTGATGCCAGTAATCCAAAAGGTGATTCATGAGGACCAAGCGGGATTTATTGAGGGTAGATACATGAAGGACAATGTAAGGCAAGTAATAGACTTATTGGAATATCTTGATAAGAATAAACAGATTTCTGCAGTGCTGGTCTTTTTGGATGCGGAGAAGGCCTTTGATAGAGTGGATTGGAATTTTTTACTAAAGACTTTAAAAAAGATGGGCTTTGGGGACCAGTTTACACAGGCAATTTCAGCAATTTATCAAGAGCAAAAAGCACAGATTATTATTAATGGAAGTTTGACGACAGAGTTTAAAATTGAAAAAGGAACAAGACAGGGATGTCCGTTGTCCCCACTTTTATTTATTTTAACATTGGAAGTCTTGCTAAATACAATACGGGACTCAAAAATTTTGAAAGGCATAATGATAAGGCAAGAGGATTATAGAGTAAAGGCATTTGCAGATGATCTGGTGGTTACCCTATCACAACCAATGGAATCAATAATCTTGATGAACGACATTATGCAAGACTATGGTAGAGTTTCAGGTTTCAGAGTGAACTCAAAAAAGACTAAAATGATAGTCAAAAATATGACACAAGATCGTAAACATGAGTTTGAAAGGAGGGCAGGTTTTGAAATTGTACCTAAGGTAAAATATCTTGGAGTTCAGGTTGCAGAATCAAACATGAAATTGTTTCAAAATAACTATGAGGTGTTGTGGCGAGAGGTTCAGAAAGACATGGGGACTTGGAAAAAGCTGCAACTGTCTTTACTTGGAAGAATAGCAGCAGTTAAGATGAACATTTTGCCAAGATTTCTGTTTTTGTTTCAAATGATTCCGGTGCTTAAAAGTGATAAACAACTGAAAGTTTGGCAAACTGGACTTAATAAGTTTGTCTGGAACGAGAAAAAGCCGAGAGTGAAATTGAAAATTATGCAAGATGTTCCAGAAAGAGGAGGCCTTAAACTTCCAAACCTACAGTTATACTATGATGCAGCAGCTTTAACTTTAACAAGTGATTGGTTTGGAAGTAAAAAGGCTGGAATATTGAATGCAGAAAGTTTTGATCTTGAATTTGGATGGCATGCTTACCTATTTTATGATGACAAAGTTGATAAAGTATTTAAAAGTCATATACTTAGAGACTCTTTGATGAGAGTTTGGAAGAAGCACCGACTCAAATGGGATTATAAAATACCGCTATGGCTGGATCTTGGTCATACCTTGTGGAATACAAATATAATGTCACTCGGGGGGTTTTTATACAAAGAGGTTCTTTTTACAGATGCGGGCAGATGGCAGTTGAAGACATTGCAGACACTGTTGGACGAAGGGATTAATTTAACCTGGTTACAATATAATCAATTACAATTGAGATGGAAAGAGGACCAAAAAACTGGTATTATGTTGCATGAGGAAGAATTGGTTAGACATATAAGAGAGAAAGGTCCAATGCATATTAAAAGGCTCTACAATGTTTTGCTAGAAAGGGATTCAGAAACGGAATTAGTTAAAGATTGTATGATTAAGTGGGCACAAAATTTTGAAGAACCAGTGATGTTGGAAACATGGGAAAAAATTTGGGTTCAGAATGTTAAATTTACACAGTCGCAGAATTTGAGGGAAAATTTTTATAAAATGTTTTATAGATGGCATCTAGATCCTAAAAAGTTGTCATGTATGTACCCTAATGTTCAGCCAAAATGTTGGAGATGTGAATGTTTGGATGCTACGTATTATCATGTTTGGTGGACCTGTAGGAAAGTTAAGGCTTTTTGGATAAAAATATGGTGGGTCATGCAGAATGTTTTGAAGAAAAAAATTCAATTTTCTCCACAATTGTTTTTATTGGGCATAGTTAAGGGTTTTACACGGGATGAAACAAAATTAATATTGTATATGATAACAGCAGCAAGATTGTTGATAGGTAAATATTGGAAGAATGAAGCTTTGCCTACTATCGAGGAATGGACTTCGAAGATGGCTAGTTTTGCAGAGATGGCGAAGATTTCAGCATATTTAAAAGATTGTTCACAAGAGACTTATGAATGGGAATGGAAAAGGTGGATAGAATATGTTCAGAACAAATACCAAATTAGAAAGTATCAAATAGCTTTTATTTGAAAACAATGTATTAGAAATATTTTAATATAAAGAGACAAAGAGGGAAAATTATGTAGGGGGAGGGATGGGTTCAGGTATATATATCAGTGTTATTAGTTATGAGTACATAATAGGGAAGTCTGGGGGGGGGAGGGTTAGGGAGGGTTAGGGAGGACGGGAAGTTTGGGGAGGGAGGTGGGGGGGGTGAAAAAAAGGGGTGAAAATGTAATTGTAAAACTTTTGCAATAAAAAAAAAAAAAAAAAAAAGCTATTCTCCAAAGCACCTGAAGGCCAGACAAGGAATAATGGATGGAAACTGATCAAGGAGTGATTCAATCCAGAAATGAGGAGAAGTTTTCTGACAGTGGGAACAATCAACCCATGGAACAGAAGTTGTGGGAGCTTCATCACTGGAGGCTTTCAAGAAGAGACTGGACTGCCATCTGTCAGAAATAGTGTAGGGTCTCCTGCTTGGGCGGGAGATTGGACTAGATGACCTACAAGGTCCATTCCAACTCTATTAAGCTATCTATCATTAACTTCATCATTTGTGAGTTGCTATAACTTAATCTGATCCGAAGGTCATTGAACTGAATTGAGCTTCCCAATGCAATCAAAGATTCAGATTCAACTGCTGAATGAAAAACGATTCTTTGATTGTCCTGACCTGATTTGATAGTTTACCCGAATTTGGGGTTGGACTAGATGACCTACAAGGACCCTTCCAACTCTTATTATTCTGTTAACTTAAGCTTGCAAAGTAGGTTTCTTGACCATCTTGGTCATTCATTCTATCTTTTGCGTGAGAGGTGATGCATTTTGGTCCCCAAAGGATCATTATAATTCCTGCTTTCAGCTTCCAGAAACATGCACAAGTGAACCAGATGGGATCTGAATTAGACAAGAGTTCAAATCAGTATTAGAAACGGGCAGTTTCATGGCATACATTTTTTCAAAACCGGTAGGCGCATTTCTACTTTGTCTTCCCATTTTTCCCAAAGAACAACTGGATTGAAGTCTTCACTCAGTGGCAAGATTTCAATTCGTCTTCAGACTGGCCGGCTTCCCACTGGGGTTGGTTTATGTTGATTAAACCTAACCTTCACTTCCTGCCTCGGTTCTTCCTTTAGAATTGTGGGATGTTTTTAAAGTGTGTTAATGGCAGGATGGCGGCAGTTAAGATTGATACCGTTAAGCCTCCTTAAAAAGGAAGCATGTTTGCAGAAGAAACACAAACATAGGTTTGGTGGGTTTTTAAAGCCACTGGCAACATATTTCGATGCATCAATGTCCCTTTGTAGACTCTTGATATTGGTGCCATTCAGATTCCCAGCTTCAGCTTGACTTTTATTAGACTATAATATAGCTTCTGACATTATCTTCATTTTCCTACTTATCCCTTGTGGTCATTTTGTGAAGATATCCTCCACATTTTTTTGTTTTCAAAATCCAAAATGTATTCTCACGTATTCTCAGAAAGCTCAAACTGCCCAAGGAGCTGCTGATCCAGTTCTACAGAGGAATTATGGAGTCTGTCATCTGCACTTCCATAACTGTCTGG